TTTTGTGATCTTTTAATCTATTTTACGCAGCGCAATATTGAATGACCGATTTGCTGGCTTTAAAGCATTTGATTCTGTCTGACTCGATAACTTTATGACAACTTTTTAAATAGCTTTATAACGGCTAATATTTCTAGGATGTCATTTTGGTACACAAAGATTATTTGAAGATTATGAAAAGTCACTTCCAATCGCCTGCTGTGACTTCTCTGAAAAACAACAAACAAAAAGAATTTGCCGACTTCAAAGATACCTAAATCGTATATGTATTTTACCATTCTCTTTTTTTGCCTTTGTATGTCCCCTAGTGTTTTATCGTCTGAATAGATAACTGCATGACAGAATTAATACTCCAAAAAACAGCGAAACATGTGACAACGAATAGACATAACCGTCTCCGAAGTCGGCGCTTCATTATATTTAAAGAGTAGAAATGTGTGTGTGTGTGTGTGTGTGTGTGTGTATGTATGTGCGTGTGTGTGTGTATGTGTGTGTCTACAAACTCATTTTGAAGTGCAGGAATTATTCTAATATTTAAGTTTTTGGATAGTTTAGCTGAGTAAGCTAAATTGGGAACAATTAAGTATTTGGCAAAAAAAAAATTCAAGAAATCATAAAAATTATCGCATCAATATTTCGGCAATATTCTGCATTCTAGCAAAGAAAACAAAACGTTGCTCCATCACAGCGGAAATATTTGTACCCTTCGTCTATCTCAGTACACATGCAAAAACACAACCATTCACACAAACACAAATGCACGCGGGTTCCTCGAGAAGGAAAGGAACTTCTCATTGGGAAAGGCGATGTTATTGAATTCCTGGATCCTCTCTGTTACTTTGTTCAAATATATTAACTTTTAAATTTATCTGGCCTGCTCTATTCGAATTGTTTCCATTCTCCCTACTCTCTCGTATCCCATAATACATCATTTACAATCAGAAATGACACATATTTCCGACACTCACCTAAACTAATAGAATTCGACTTCTGATGACATGATGAATAAATAAAGATTCATTTCCGAAACAGTACAACTTTATCATGCAGTTTGTGCACTGTTTATGCTTATAAATTCTGATTTTTGGTTTAGATGTTTTTTGACGCACTATGACTTTTTCAGAACATAATAACATTGTGCATATGTTGTTCTAGAGAGTAAGCATGAGCAATACAGTGAAATTTTCCATGCTCCTTTCTAAAATTGAGAAAATATCAAAAATGTGAAAGAAAAGGAAGTAACTGCACATTTCCCTTCTTATGTTACTATTGAGTTTTAGTCCACATGCAACTGATCAGTTTTAATGTATTGACACAGGAAACGATAAGCACGGAATAATTAGTTTCAAGCATCCTACAGCTTTTCGAAGAATGCCAAACTTCATCTTCTCAGAGTTAAAAAGTTACGAGGGTAGTACAGTACCCATTGCTTTGACACCAGAGTTATATGAACATTTTTGAAAGTTAGTTGTAGCATAAAGCATACGCAGAACATATACAATATAATCAACCTTATTTGAAAATTCCAATGACCCCTTATACCCTCACCTTTATCAGTATGCTCGCTTCAGAAAAAAATCAACATTCATTAATTATATCAAATTGTCTTAGTATGATGGCATGCTGTAGTTCAACTTAGTGCTACAATTTTAATCCGCGCCTTAGTCCATAACTTTTGTCTTAATAGTAACTATCACCCCACACTGATTAGTAATCACCGTTATTCATCCCTCCCATTTAAACAAATGTATAGCGAACTAAAAATCCGAGGCCATCACCAAACCAACCGACTCTCTCCCACCCTTTTTGAATCACTGTTGCAGCACAAAATTAGTTCAACAAGCATAGAACAGACGACCAATATAATTAGTGGCAATAGCCTTTCTTATTGCTTATCAAAACTCTTGGAAGTATATGGCTAATGCTTTACCCATGACCTTCATATACCAACAACTATTCTGAATATTCAAGAAATTATTTTAGAGTTTGTTCTAAATAGTTGATGAATGTAAATAAAGTCACATAGTTATAATTGATACAAATCATCCTGTATGGCACTCTTAAAGATACTCCACTCAGTGATGAACTGACTGATTGTATTAAACAAACTGGCAATTCGTTCTTTATACTGTAAATAGGTAATTTTTTTTTAATCTCAAAATACTATTATCGCTTTTCCCTTACCCATCAGATAAAAAACACTTATAGTGTTAAAGCAGTAGATAGAATTGTGTGAATGTAAATTAATTTCAAAACACAGAAGATTCTATCTAATAAATGCGATAAAGAAAGCGTAGAATGCAGGAATTACTGAGTGCATTGAATAAAAAAAATATTACTCTTGCTGCCAGAAAAAGAGCCTTCAAAACTATTACGTAGGACACCTTCCTTTATAATTCGCATAAAAATTTGGCGTAAAATTGCTTTAAATATTTCATGACTAGCAATCTGATCGTGGAATTTCAACTACAGAGACTTATAGTGATTTTATTCATATTTTCTTCGTTTTTAAAAGTTTTGAACTCTAAAAAAGAACTGACCATAAAATAAGGGAATTCGGAACTATAAAAAACAGGAGATCCTCGAAAGCAATTTTTTTAGCGAATCACCAACAAATTGATTGCCAATTTCAAACAACTTATGGTGCAAAAGCGCATTATGGCAAGAAGGAATGAGTAGTTCTGAACGATCTGGTTAAAATGCGTGAACTAATTTAGTTTTTTATATTTGAGGGATACTGTACTGAATAGCTTTTATTTAATTTGATTTTGGATTAAATATAAAAAAAAAGGAAACCAAATCTCTTCCTCATTAATATCTAATTGATAAATTTATGAAAAAATTAAGAAAGGATAACTAAATGCACTGTCCAACTAACGTGGAACTAGTCTGAATGATCAAAGTTCCTTTTTTTTGTGTCACGGATGATTTGTTGATTAACTTTTATAGTTTATAGGTGGTTCTTAGCTGCATAATAGTAACTTTTCAAATTCCTATAGTTCATAACAAAAGGACGAAAAAATGGCTCTAATTCTGCTATTTTGTCACATCGATGTCATACAACTTCTTATCGTTGTCATTCACAAACTTTTTTTTCTTTTTTTGTGAGAGCTTTTTAGACATTTCTATCAGTTTGACTCCATCTCCATTTACGGTAGAAGAGAAGCGAAGGGACAGATGTAAGAAATCATTAATTTTTTCGTTTGGGAGGAAAGAGAAAGACCCCTTGTAGGCATAACTATTGTCTTATTGCCAGCCTATGATTTAAGATTTCTAACCTTGATTTGCCTAGGACAAACTGAATTAATAATTCGAGATTTTTAATGAACTTCATCAGCTAATTTTTAACTTATTGTTCATCTCTATTTCAATTCATCCAGAATTAAAAAAACGTTCACGCTATTTCGAGAGACAAGTTCAATCCTCATTAATTAATGAAATTTTCTTTTAGTTTCAAGCCCGATAATTTTGGTCCTTAGCTTTTTATCAAAATCCGTCCATTATTTGATGGCAATTCATGTTTTGTTATCCATCTAAAATCTATTGTTGCCAAATGAGATTTAGACTAGAATAATGTTTAAATAATGCATTATTCATTTTCGTCTGTAATATTATGAACCAAGCAAAGGAACTTTTTGAATTTCATGGCATTAATAAATGAAATCTTTGCATTGTTCTATTGCTGTAATATAATCATTAGAGTTGTGTTTTTTTTTTCAATTTTAAATTATTCTCACATCTTATGATGTCATAAAGATCTAAAAAGCTGTACCGGTTGAAATATATCAGAAAATCTAGCATTTGATAGAATAGGTTGTTATTTCTCACTAAAGTATACTTGTACTGAAGTCCTTACTTTTCACTTTATATAATACATAAAGGAAATTTTCACTGTATGTCTCCATTAAAATCCATTTGGGTATGTATAGCAGAATGCAGCTTGCATAGTCAATCGCATTTTAGAAATTGATCGTATTCAAGTGTAATTAAAAACCCAGCCCAATAATTTCATGAAATACTTAGTCATAAATTCATTTTCCATTATAAAACTCCTTATTATGTATATTAAAAATGAACAATTTGCAAAATAAAAAATTTGAAGTTCAAAGAATAGCATTAAGCAAAGGAACTTTTTTAGAAGGCTGGAAAAAACAATACTGAAGAAGATATAGCATGAAAACGAGTCTCCATTCTAAAATACCATCCCGATCGTCTTAAAATGTAATCCTGATTCAAATGTTATCTCAATGATTTCGCTATTATATATATATTTGTATAGTGAAACTACAAAGTGAATGCCATCTAATCGTGAAATCATCTGGATATCCCTCATCATATACTATAAATAATCATTTTTGACATCTGCTGATTTTGAAATTTCGCATATATCGATGATGTTTAATGTGTTGGGAGCATTCGATACAGCATTAATATTAACTGGATAAATCATTGTCGACGCTGCGAATAAAAAACACCTCTATGATAGTTTAATCTTAATAACAATTGAATCGAATTTTAACATTTAGGATTATTCCAGAAAAGTTTTTAGGTTCGGAATTCAATTAATTGCCAAAATTTAGCTGATTGACTAAATAAATCTATTGTCTTATTCCTTAAACACATCGTTTCCTCATAAGCCCCCTCTAAAGTTTATTAAATGAATTCTTTTCAGCATTGCTGATCTCGCTTTTATTTTGACATGCACCGTGGAACTTAATGAACTTTTCTGTCTCCACGTTGATTGACAGACCGAGTAATGAACTTCGCTAATTTTCACATATTTCCTGTGAAGAATACAGGAACTAATATGAAGTCTTAGTTATGCATTCTTGATGAATACTGGAATATCATGAGCAAATATTTCATGCATTCATTTGCCAGCCGAGAAAATATTTAAATTCCATCACTTTATTCGAAAATGATTTATGAATAAGTAGAAAAAAGGAACAGAATCAAAACAAAGCGATGGATAAGAAAACTTGTCAGAGGAAAAATTTTTACTAAGTATTGATTTCTAAGAATGTAGCATACTGAATAAGCGTATTAATATCAACAGAGCTTTTGACCATTCCACATGTTACTTTATGAAATGCTGCAGGGATCGGTCCAAATGGCGAATCATCTAGTTTTTTAATCTTACGATTTAATTGGATTGTCATCTTTGGCACCACATAACCATCCTCCAATTGCCAACCTATACGATTCAGAATCTGCAACTTTCAAGTAACATGAAACAGAACTAAAATACAGAACATGGAATGGTTACTACAGTTTTAAAAACACCGTAAAAAAAAGCTATTTCGAAAGTGTTTGTAAGATAACAGATGAAAACGCTGCAAAGTATTAGAATGCCATTCGAACTCTCTATTCATTCGGGGTCCACTTAGCACATAACGGTATCCGCCTTATTATTCCATTTTGAATTTAGATTCATATGTTCGATGACTTTGACCGTTTGATTTTTTGAAAATTTTTGTTACCATTTATGAAAGTTTTCCTACCAAAAACTTGCCAGTTGAATAACTTAAATCAATACGCATATCTTCTATACTAACAACCTTCTGTAACTCGTTATTCGATTCAGCAGCAAGCATTTCAGCTAATTTCTTTGCTTCAATATTAATATAAGTATGTTCAACCAATTGCAACACTGATAAAGTGGTTCGTTTGTGCACTTCCATTATCAGCTCTCTGAAAAAACAATGCCAAGATTGTAATAAATTATAGATTAAATATAGAAGAATGAATTAAACACCGATAAGATTTATGAAATAACTAAGTAATCATCTTACCTTCCAGCATTTTCAATCTCTAAAAATGAGGCAGTGAACTGCTCTAAAGCGTAGCAGTTCTTCCTCTTTTAGTAGAACATTTCTTAAGAATTTCTGAATACATAAAACCCCACTAAGCTGGAACCAGTAGTGCTGAGGATGTAACGAAGTTAGTAAAATATACTTGATCGGATTATCAAAATGTGAATTCTTGATCAAATGAAGAGCAGCTCCAGTATCACCGTCCTCCAGATGATGACAAATAAGCATGAGTGTATTTAAGTGGATACTTGATATCGATGCTTCGGCGCGGAGACGGCATTGACGCGCCTAAAAATAAGGGATTAGAAGCAGTGCAGAAATCATACGAGAATAATGCAAAAATTAATACACTGATAAGCGATATTTACACCAATTCCTTTTCTTATCTGTTTTCAAGAATCTGAATCATTAATTCTTGGTGTTACGGATTTCAACAAAATTAGGGTCGAAAAAAGAGACAAACTTTTGCCCAATCTGCCTTAACCATGTAAAAGACCAATAAATGTGAGAAAAAATCGACATCAACATCGCGTTCATTGGGCTGAATTTCACGCTGCTCAAATGATCGCAATTTTGAAGTGAAAGGTGAAGATGCCTAAACAATATAAGTTATCAGAAATGCTTTCTAAGATGAAAAGCACCAAGAAAAACAATAGTAAAAGCATAGTGAAAAATGATTAATTTTTTATGTTCCCATCGCTTTCAGCTTTGTCAGAAAAAAAATTAATATACTGATGAGACCTGGCATCTGTGTAGCTTATACCAAGAAATCGAAATCTAACACAAGATCAACTACTTGCAACTCCATAAATTTAGAAGAAGGAATTAATATGGAGAAACGTAAAGTGATTAGGACGCAAGTTCATAACATCAAGCAGAATGAGGACTGAACTTCTTCAGGCGTATTTCTTGTAATGGATTTTTTCATAGTAACATTTAACTCTTCATCAAAAAAAATTGAAGCGCTAAGAGAAATAAAATAGCGACAAAACTGCGTAGCATGAGGAGAATATTTTTTAAAATACATTCCATTCCAAACATTCTGAAAAGTACTAACTAATAAAGGACTGTCCTTCAGCGAACTAATTAACCGAAAATACTAACAACAAATGGAGCATTACTGAAACCAGTAAAATGGTGCATTGAAAATGATGGTGCGGGAAGGCTATCTTCCGCATCCATATTCAAATTTTCATCTGAAATGAAAAAGTAAACCATTGCAAAATTAAATTTTCGCTCGCATCCTTTTTCTAGTAAATTTTGGTTGAATATGAAATATGCACACTAGTTGAAAGCTGCAAATATATAATATGTCTCTGAAAACAAGTCAAGTTTACCATTTCCTGGAATAACAGCAGGAACGATATATCCACCAACTGGTTCACTACTTAGATTTTTTGAGACTTCAGGAACCTCAGACATTTACTGAAACAAGAAAATTCGAGTTTGTGATTTAAAGGAATTAAGATTCAGAACCAAATCCTAAACGCCAATGAAGATTTTTTAAAATACATTCCATTCAATGAAGATAGGCTGGAGAAATGTATCAAAAAAAACTAGCGGGAAATACACGATCTTAAAATTATAAATTTCAAAACAGATAAAAAATATAACAGTTGCGCATGCCTTATTTGTCAAGAAACTCAGTCGATGTAACCCATGATCGCTTTTAACCATGCTCATGTTACCGCAAACTCTTCCAAAAATGTAATAAAGGTGTAGGTAAATTTCATAAAAAATTTGCATGTACACAAAAACAATGACATATAGAATATTAAAGTAAAAAGAGATAAAATTTAACTTTATCGAATTCGAAACTTTGAAACATGACCTCCATAAGAAAATGCAAGCCTCAAATTCTCCTCACATCAACTTTGAAAATCAAAACTAGATCATGTATTATCAATAAAATACCAATAAGTTGCACAGAAACGTGAACAAATTTGACAATCATGAAATTCATTCACATCCCAATTCATAAAAAAGCTTATTTCATTAATGTAAGGACCAATGGTAACATTCGAAATATTCTTTCTCTTCCCTCCTATCGCAACACATCCACTACCTACTTTTTTCCGCTTATCTTCATGCTTGTAAAACGAGAATGAGGAACTCAGTTGATAATGAAATGAAGGAAATAACCTAAGATGCAGCATTAAATTAGACATCAGAAACTAAAAAACGCATGACTGGTCTGATAAGGGCAAATAAAGTTTGATATGAAATCAGTTGAGAACGAAAAAATCAAATAATTCCAGAAGGCATATTTCTAGTTTCTCATCTTTAATAACTAGAAAGAGCGCGTCACTTACCACTACTGTGACATAAACAGGCTCAACGGAAACAAAGAAAGCACAAACAGATTAACTAGTACTTAAGAGAATTTATTTTCAAAGTTAGGTTTAACAGAAAAACGCTTATTAGTTTAGGTCAACCAATAACCATCTCTAAAAATTGAAAAATAATTTTGATTTCAAAGAACTAAAAACACAGAAAATGACATGTAAATTACTTTCGCCAATATCATCGCATGACAAAACAATGTGACTTATTAGACCAAATTTGGCATTTAATTTCAACTTTCGTTGAGTTCCATGTTTCATTCAACACTGTGATGCGTTGCCAAACAATAGAGACAATAAACGGAAGCTATCATAGAATGAAATTAACATAGTTCAAATGCAAATTGAATCCATCGAAAATGCAATATGATGAGGACTTTTATACATGATGCGAATCATTCACTTGCGCAAAAATATGAAGGAACAGATTTCGCCAAAAAATTGAACGCCTTCGTGCAGAATGTTCTGAATATATGACAAATTCGAATAACGAAGGAAAAACAAAGTTTCATCAGTTAAAATTCATGAATGTCAATATCGATAAATTATTCACCAGCAAAAAATTTTAAAAAAAGTGCTAAAGATAACATGGCAAGCAATGAGCATGATTTAATACAATGAAATGGAATTCTGAATATGAGGACACAGACTAATGAAATTGTACAGGCAAAGACCAAATAACATGCGACAAGGAAAGAATGGAATATATCAATTTTGGAAAGCACCACCACCGCTCACTTATATAATAAAATGAGGGTCAAAGCACTTCATGATAATGCAAGAATTAGGTTCGGATTTTGGCAGAAAAAGGTGAAATAAACTTTAAATTTTCTTATTCTAAATACAATATAATTATATCAAATACATCAATTCTATTGAAAAAAATAATATAACTTTGATTTACGAAATACAAACAGAAATTTATCCAGGTGCAAATTTCCATTCCTGCCTACATAAAGGACACTGCGGTCGAGCTGCATTTTGAGTTTCAGTCCATTTCACAATGCAGTGCATATGAAACGCATGCTTACATGTCCCTATTGCCTGAAAAACAGTATACAGAGCGGAACCACACACCATGGTTAAGCAGACTGGAGGTAAAAGATATTAACAAAGATTTCGCAAAATCCATAATCTCTGCTCCCATGGAAGGATTACAACGCTGTTTTGCTGAGAGATCTGGCAAAAGTTTAGGATCAAGAGTTACGTGTAAAAAATGAAAATGCTATTTCAATCTTAGTTGCAAAAGAAAAAAATTAAACAAACATACTAAGGGACATTCATCACCAGGTGTTTTACACTCAATGCAGCATGCCTCAAATGGCATTCGACAAATCCCACAGGTTTCATCACCGGCCGTCCATTTCCATGACGCAGCTACCTAAAATATTGATGTAATGTTGCGGTCCACAAGACGTCCTTCTCTACTCTGCCTTAAAGTATATAAAAATTATGCATTTGTAGAATTGTAGATCAGTTTAATTTGTACATTTTTCAATGAGATACAAATCCGCTCAGTTAATTAATGCGCAACTAGCGGACGGATTTAGATAAATAATTAAACGGATTTCATTTGAGGTCGCTGTTGAGCCAATTCTGATGCGTAAGCTTCATTAGAATCAACCTCAAGAAATCCAAGAACATATGAACGAATGTGAAATTATTAAAAGTCCTATAGTCTGAATCACCAGGAGCCCAATTAGGAAGAATAAGAAATGAATGGCTTGACATTTAGTAATTTATAAGTTCGTACATTTTCCATGAACAGTGATAGGAGAAGCAAAATATAAATTACACAAACGTACATTCCACTTGAGTACCGTGATTTTCAAACGAGTTGATGTGGGTAGTTTCAACGGCTGTGGGTAAAACCTTATGGATGAAGATGGATCATGATGAGTACGGTTCTGGAAATCGTCATTATGCCTCTCAGGAGAATTTGATTCCTGCAACTATATAACATAATATTCAACTGATGACTACTACTGATCGACAGTGGACCATAATACCGAATGACCGAATCAGAATTGCACATTTTCAAATTGGAATTAATCAAATGCGATGAATTGCAATTTGAAAGCGCACATTTCATCGCAGTTGATGAATTACAATTCAACCAAAAAACAAGCCTCAAAACTGAAGAAATATTATAATACAAAGAACGATGCATAGAAAATCTCTCATCTGACAAAAATATGTAAGAATTAAAATAAACAATGGTGGATTAAATCCAACACTCGTCAAAAAACAAAAAAAAAAAACCAACATTACTATTATTTCGACCGCGTAGATGTGGCATACGAAAGGTTCGGCGTCTCGGTGTTTCATCCATGCTGTTCACAAGATCTTCACTCTCTGAAATGTAACAAGTGAAATTTTGACCTTCAAAAAGCAAAAAGACCAAAGGAATAGTCTTGACTCTGCAGTAATCAATGCCAGACCTTTCAGTCATTTTACTGCATTCCAAAGAAGGCGTCGAAGTAGGTTTCTGCAGGAGACTGTGGTCTGATATTTTTGTGGGTAAATTTGTTTATAATTCTTTCATCACAGAAGCAGGTAAAAAGCTGGTGAGATAACACATACAATTTCTTAGAAGTTAAAATAATAAACAACCGCTTACTATAGATAAACTATCATCACTGACATAGTACAAGCAAACATCGAAAATAAAAATTTCTGGAAAACTGACGCGCACTTTCCCTTCGCTCGCTACTGCTAGCAGTGTCACTTGCTGATGGAGAGTACAAATCTCGGATCAGTGCCAACTCCTAAAGCATTTAAAATAGCTTCGACTTTTTTGTCACTCTTGACTTAACATCTGAAAAAGACAAAATTCAATTGATAATAACTAACAACATCGCTGAATTCATTCACTTGAGGTGATGAGCCGCTAGTGATGTCATTATTGTTCTCTGATTCATTTACGCGATTACTGCCATCACCATTACGGTCGCCATTTTCATCGTTTATTGACGATATTATGCCAAATGATAAAGAATTAGTAGTATTCGTCAATAAAGATAACGATTCGTTAGTAGCTATATGGACACTGGAATCTCCTATACCGCTGGTTTCATCCATTGCTTCTTGTGCTCAAAGCAATACTCTTATTGAAGATTTGGAATAAAGAAGTTTCACCTTATAGAATAAATGCAAAGTTTGTTCTTTTCGTCTGACCTTATAAATAGATCAAACAAAAAGAACAAACTTCGCAATCATCGAATCTGTAATCAAGTAAACAAGAAACTGAGAATTTCGGAAATTTTGCAGAATGGATGTTAAAATGGTTAATATTGACCATGGCGATGATTTAGCAAGGCTAAATATTCCATATAAGATTCCATATGTGTCGACGAATCATCCTGAGAATAACTGAAAACATCTCTCGAATTCCCCCTTGCCTGAAAAATAAATTGGCGAACAAAATTTTGATTACGATTCCTAAAGAAGATTTCGCTGCTCCTAATAATCTTTAGGAATGAATAACATTCTAGATATCTCACTTTCGACACCATTTGTTAATTGCAAACACTCAGTAAGGAAAGCATCAGTTTTCTAATAAAAGAGACGCCTACCACATGTCTTATACATGCCATTAGAGGCTGTACTGTATTTTGTAACTTACTGCACTGCTATCCGCATCGAAATTACTATTGCTTATCTCGAAATTACGAAGTGCTGCTGTCAATGACGGAGAACTTGAAGAAGAAGAAAGCGTATTCTGATCACCTCCTTCAGAAAGTTGTGAACTTGAATTTGATGTATCTAGAACATAGGGTACTGGCGATCTGAAAATATTAAGATTTCTCAGCAGAATTCTAATCTGAAAAAAATGTGATAAAAATTCATACAGCTGAATACTTTATGTAATTTACAACAGATGACGTTAAACAGTATAGTTGCGTCTACATAACCGTGTGCAAAACTGATAACTACCGGACGCAAAATTACTACTTTATAGAAAGCAATGGCCCAAATGCTAAGGCGATAGCTGAACGTTTCACAGTGGTAGTGAAAACAATAAAACAGCTCAATATAGAATCACATAAAATTTAGAGTCGATGTAATGTATGAAAAACATACAAGTTTCCATGGCTTCTTTCATGCGACATGATTAACTAGAATTGAGGAAGGTTTGGACACGGTCATCCCCCACAATACGAAAACCACCACCGCCTAAAAAATAAATATGTTTCGACAAATAAAATAGTGATAAAGATAGAAATGCAGCTTTTCACAACCTGATGCCTTACAAGCAACAATTTCGATAAAGTATCAAATAATCTCGCTATTTTATTCTCTTATTTACATTCTAATTTCAATTTACATGTTAATACTAACAGCATTTTGGCACAGTAAATTCTGCTAAGCTAAACAGTACAATGATTCTAAAAAACCGAAGTACCACACCCAACGGCAGAAATTATTATCTATACTTTAATATTTAACGTCGCAGCTTTCTCAGATCGCTTCCCCAAGTGATTTTTGCCAACAGATGTTAAAGAGATACGTAATACTTCAAGATATGGCGATATTTTTGCGATGTATATCTTGTGATACATTATTAGCTTCTGGGCTATTCAAGAAATGTAATAGACCAGACTCCCGAACATCTCAGAAGCTAAAAATATATCACAAGATATATTAGTCACAAATATATCAAATGTCATATTTTCACAAAATTCAACCAGGTACGTTGTCACAGTGCGAATTCCTGTAACTGGTAATCTGATCGACTTTGCAAATTATATCATTGTATCCAATTTGTTAAATACAAGAACCTCTGGTTAAGAAAATTAAAAACAAATGAATTAAACGAAATGACTTGATTATATTGACAACCTTCTCCAGAAAAATCATACTTTGTGAAAGAACACACTTCAATGAATGACTAGGAAACAGTCCCAATGAACAATACCGACGGTGATTTGGAAAATTATCTCAATATAGCAATCTCGCTTTACTAAAAAATGAAGTGTGACAAACATCCGATCGCAAGGCTTACCATAATTTTAGAGAATGTAGATTCTATTTTTAAATACAGTCTTCAGTATTAAGATGAACTGACCAAGTCCTTCATTACTATATTTCAATGACTCCACAAAAAATTACCACTTCCCTTCACTATCTATACGAAGAAATATGAAACGCTTTCTGGTGCAAATTCACCAATAAAAATTGTCGGAAAACTACTCGTATGCTTTATTATTGAACATAATTCTTAAATATATACTTTGGCAAATAAAACAAAGTCATCCATAATATAAAACAATCCGTATTATACCAAAAATTTAAGAAACTCAAGAAACTCAAAAGAAAACTTATCGAAAACCGTTACCT